AAATCAGGTATTGATCCAATTTGTTGACTTTTCTCTGGCACTTCAGTCTTCACAGAGAATGTGAAGCAGAATGTGTTCTGTTGCTACTTTCAATTTCTATAAATGGGAAATCCAGTTCCTGCTTCATAATGAGTGAAGGCTGTTCAGTGTTTTTTTTCTGAAATAAATCTGTGATTTTTAGTTCAAATCGTTGGGAAGTTGATTGCTCCAGGTAATACAATGTCAGTGTCCTGTTTCCCGGTGTTGTTACTCCCAGCAGAGGGATAAAGGAGTTGAACTGCTTTCTAACATTTTAGTTAGTTATTGGCACATTAGTGGTTACTCCCAGCAGAGAGATAAAGTAGTTGAACTGCTTTCTAATGTTCTAGTTATTGGCAAATTAGTGGACCAGATAGTATGAATAAGATAATACAGTTGTATTTTACTCATTCCAGTCAATAAATATCTGCTCCTAAATGTATTTTCTGAAACTTTCCTCTAGCAGTGAAAATTACAATTGGGGTATGAGGGTGTGTGTGAGAAAAAAGTCTTTCTCAATAACTGCACACCTTTTTCCTCACTTGTCTGAGAGTTATGATGGAATATAAAATCATAGAATGGTTATGTTAAAGATCATGTAGGTCCAACCCCCCTACCATAGGCAGGGACACCTTCCACTATACCAAGTTGCTCAAGGGCCCCATCCAATGTGGCTTTGAACAATGCCAGAGATGGGGCATCCACAACTTCTCTGGTCAACCTGTGCCAGTGTCTCACCACCCTCATAGTGAAGTTTTCTCCTAATATCTCATATGAATCTTCCCTCTTTCAGCTTAAAGCCATTCACCCTTGTCACATGCCCTTGTAAAAAGTGTAAAAAGTCTCTCACCACCTTCCTTATAGACCCCTTTCAGATACTGGAAGACTGTTATGTCTCTCCCTGGAGCCTTCTCTTCTCCAGGCTGAACAAGCCCAACTCAGCCTGTCTTCATAGGAGAGGTGTTCCAGCCCTCTGATCATCTTTGTGGCTTTACTCTGGACTCACCAGGGGAGGTACATGTCCTTCTTTTCTTGGGGGCCCCAGAGCTAAACTCAGTACTACAGGTTGGATTCTCATGAGAGCAGAGTAGAGGGCAAATAGAGCTTCTCATTAGTCAATACCCAGAAGTCCTTCTCCTCAGGGCTGCTCTCAATCCAGTCTCCACCCAGCCTGTAGTTGTGCTTGGGATTGCCCCAATCCAGGTGTAGGACCTTGCACTTGACGTTGTTGAACTTCATGAGGTTTGCATAGGCCCACCTCTCAAGCCTGTCCAGGTCCCTCTGGATGGCATCCCTTTCCTTCAGTGTGTCAACTGCACCAGACAACTTGGTGTTGGCAAGTCTGCTGAGGGTGCACTCAGTCTCACTGTCCATGTCACTGACAAAGATGCTAAACAACAGTGATCCCAACAGTGACCCCTGAGGGACACCACTTGTCATCTCCATTTGGACCTTGAGCTGTTGAATGCAACCATCTTCATCTCCAGGGTAATATTTACACTATTTTGCAGCATACTGTGTTGTTTCGGTGTCACGCAAACTGCAAAAGATAATAACTTTTATGGAATGTTTTAAACCATAATCTGTGTATTTCCTGGAAGTTTTGTCACATAAATTTAAGCCACTGCAAGGACACTTGGTGCTTATTGATGAGTAGTTAAATGAGAGAGAAACCTTAGATGATCTGGAGTTTAACCACTAAATAAATTATTTTTGTAAGACTACACAGAAGTAAATCCCTAACTCTGCAGACAATATCCTGAACTTGCTGTTGGTTTTGAGTTGTATTAAACAACTGAAACACTTGATTCTTTTTTAATCGTTTTAGTTTACAGTTCGCAATAGGATTGCGAGATAAAAAAAGCAAATATTTTGATGAATATCTCTATTTCTAAAAGTCATTTCTCTTGTTGTCTTTCTCCATGTATTATTCATCTTTTGGGAAGAACCATCAATGCCTGAAGGTGATTTTGTAATGCTTTTTCATTAATGTTGTTTTTTCTAGACAATCTATACATTAATGTGTTCTGCGGCCCATGAGAATAATGATACATCACTTTTGGAAAAAAAAAAACACCAAAATCAAAAAAGAACCCTATGGTTGTATTAGGCCTTGAAAGGTGACCATAGCAGGATTGTTAACAAATGTAGAAACTCATGCGAGTGTACAACTTAGGTTAGGAAAAGAAAGAATTACAAAAACTCGGAAGCTGTTCATAGGATTAACAAAAGGAGCCTCCATCAGGGCTAATGACCAGCTTTGCTGTATCACAGACACAGTGAATTCTCTATCTTAAATTTACTGAAATATTATTTTCTGGCACTAAATATGTAAAATATGTTTACACAGGAACTTAAATATGGGAGATGTTTTACAGATTAAGAAATCTGGAGAGGGACTTTTTTACAAGGGTATGTGACAGAACAAGGGGAAATAGCTTTAAGCTGAAAGAGGGGAGGTTTGGATTAGATATTAGGAAAAAATTGTTCACCCGGAGGGTGGTGAGACACTGGCACAGGTTGCCCAGAGAAGCCATGGCTGCCTCATCCCTGGCAGTGTTCATGACCATGTTGAATGGGGCCTTGAGCAACCTGGTCTAGTGGAAGGTGTCCCTGCCCATAGCAGGGGAGCTGGAACTAGATGATCTTAAAGATCCCTTCCAACCCAAACCATTCCATGATTCTATGAACTTTTCAGATCAAATAAGCAAAGACATTCTGTCATTATACATAGCAGTGTTTAACAGAATTATACAATATGCTGTATTTTTATGAGACTTTTTATATAGCTCTTTAATATGTACTGCTTGAATTTTTTTTTTTTTTTTGTATTTAGCTTTGGAGCAAACATGCTATTATTTTGGATGGAGTACTAAATGGACTCATCAGTTTAAATGCAGAACTTGGTTCTTGAACATATAGTCATTAAGGGTGACATATATATTGTCAGTTAAATAGCAGCACTTCAGTACCTACCTGAAGTGGTAGGTACTCATGGGGACAGAGTATTATGTATGTCCTGCAGGACAGCCAATTTAGGCAGTGGTTCAATAAAGTAAATGGTTTCTAGATATCCCTAATTTCAGATGCAGAACTTTCAAATCTAGAGGCTATTACCAGAAATTATCTCTGTTTAGCTTAAATTTATAAAAGGGCTTTGAAAAGAACATTATAGGAACATTCCTTAGAACAGTCATATCTGTACCAGAGTCTCAGATATTGCATTAGAATGAAAATAAAGTGAAGTATAAGATTCTTCTTTTGATCAGATGGAACATGTGGAAGAATCTTTCATTTGTCATCCCTTTCTCATAGATTTATTCTTTCTCCCTCATTTTTTTTATTTTTTTTTTTACAGCTGGTATTACAATACAAATTTTTATCAACTCAGAATACGGAAATATACCTAAAGATACAGGGCGGCCACTTTCCAAACCCATATTCTTGTACTAACTAATGTTGATTGCAGCACATTTAGCTATAAGAATTTATATAGTAGTTGAGTTATTGCACTGGAAAGCATACCAATAATTCAGAAAAACATAGATGTGCCAAAAATAAAGTGAAGAAATGGTCATTTTATTAATTTTAAGAAAAGATTTTAAAAAAATGCATAGACGCTAGGACGAAAGAACAGCAAGTCAATCAATATCTCTGCTTGTGAAAGAAATAACTAAAATTTTGTATGTGTTATGTACATCACATTTAAAGGACTGGTGCCTGAAAATAAGTCTCAGATAATCTGCATGCAGACACAAATGGAGAATGAGCTATGAGAAAAGAGGTAGTGGGTTAGGGTGCTCACAAGGAGGCTTTATAATGAGAGAAGGAATAAAGAAAAATAAAAGATTTGAGAAGTAAAGCAAAGAAAGCAAATTAATGTTGGTAGAATAATCATTTCCTATGTAAATTACTGAAGCTAATCTGTAATAACTGAATATTTATTTCTTAAGTATACACAGATACTTTCAGTTAGCTGTTCTGTACTTGGATGCTGAGGTAATTCACAGTCAGAATTCAGTCCTATGAGGTTGTCAAAGCTATTTCATAATGCCATAACTCTCCTAATTGCTAGCAAACTGGAGCATATCTTGATTCAAAGTCAGTCTCTGGCTTAGTTAAGGTGGTGAACTTCTGGTAGTTAAAATAGTAATAAGCCTGCAGCATAGTTTTTAGTTTTTGGTTTTTTTTTTACTCTCTATGAGGTTATAACTTTAAGGTTTCCCAGAATTGTAAATATGATGCACTTGAACAAAACATACTTATAATCATAAATATATGTGAGCAAAATAAAATAGAAAAGCAACTTATGACATATCCCACAGAACTCAAACTTCTAACATGTAATGTTACTTATATGCATGTATGTGCCAACCTATATAATTGTCACACAAATGAATACAAGGTATTAGGATTTTATGTTGTAAAGATTACAAAAAACTTTTCGAATATCTTTATTGTAGTGAACTGGCTGTTTCTGTTTTCAAAAGTATTCCATTTTATTGAGAGAAGGTCATTACTGTAATATTAGTCAAAATTCTCTGTACTCATTTCCCAGGGGATGTTATTTGGTTGCTAAAAATATAACCTGGAGTAATTTTTCATATATAATTGAATACTTTTGATGATCCGCTTCTGCTTTAATCAGTTTTCAGAGAGAATATTTTTGGTTTTTTTTCTTTTTTTCCCAGCCAATTCTACAAACACACTGAAAGATTGATTTACGTATAGGCAAGTTTTTCTGTGAATTTGAATGCTTCCCCCCAGTTAAACTGTTTTCCTGTGGCTGTTTTTAGTTAACCTCAACAGCCCATGCTTGGAAACAGTCATGTCACTGGCACATTTAATCAATTAGTTTAATCAGATGAAAAGGAATGTTGTGAAAGCTGTGAAACAAAAAACTCACCGTTTCATGCAGTGCTTTTTCTGTCAGGCCATGAGACAGGAAGTTGAATTTACAAGTTCAGTTTTTCATTTTACAGAGCTACTAGAGAAGACCCTCAGAAGAGAGGAAGAAATGGGAGCTATCCAGGTATACTTTCTATTTAATTAAGTAGCTACAGTTTTTGTCACCCTTCGAATTACTAAACTGTATTACAACATTATGTTTTTCTGACCTGCCTTGTATCTTAAATTCTTTGGAATTCTTTGGAAATATATGCAGCCAAATACAGACCTGATAGCTAGTAATAATCCCTACTAATGAATTTCTGCCCACCAATTAAGTTGCACATTAGAGAAGATTGAAGTAGTCAGCATTCTCCTTATGAGTCAATAGGTCTAGTCCATCAGTGAAAAGAGTGCTGCTTTCAAGTCCCACTCTGTACTCAAGTTATGTTGTACTGCTGGCTTCACTGAAACTATGTGACATGGGGCAGTGCAAATCTGCATTCAGAACTGCAAAAATGCCAATTCTACTGCTTGGCTTAGATTTTCTGAGCTGTGTTGTTTTCTCCTGTATCTCAGAATAAACTGAAAGTAAAAGATTTTAAGTAAGTATTTTAAATCTCTGAAACATTAAATGTCACCTTCCTGAGGAAGAAGAGACCAGTCAAAATGTGCTAGGACTTGATACAGTATAGTAATTCCTCATTGTATGTCATCTAGCACTAAAGCTGCTTGTGCTAGGCACTTTAAATTTGCACTTAAAAATTAAGATTTACCCTAAACTCAGCTTTGGAATAGTATTTAAGCATTGCAGTCAAAGAAAACATACTCCTTTGAAATGAAAATGGCTAGGAAAGCAAAACCAAGCTGGAATGTCTAAATTGTGAGGCTCTGAAAGCTATTAGGGAGGGTAGTGCATGTATTCTTCAGAATAGAGAAGGGAAAAGAAATTTTTAGCAACAAATTACAGCAGACAGTACCCAACATGAGTATAAAAATATTTAGCTACAGCATGAAGAGTATCAATGAAGCAACTTTCTGTAAGTATTCTGGAAGCAGGACATTTATGAAGGAATTAATGAAGGTAAGGGTGTTAAAGAAAATGAAATTACGTATTGACCTGAGTTTTGACCATAAGAGTTTGTTTGAAAAGATAAGCTTTCTCTTCTCGCATCATAAGGAGAAGGCATTTTGAGGGCTAGATGTATCAAAAAGTGTAGAAACAGTTTGATCCAGTAAGAAGAGACAAGTTACACAACACACCAATCCAGCTGTTCCTTGTTCAAACAAAAATCTTGGCCTAGCTTTCTGGCAGCTTAAGTTCAACAAGGCTGAGAGCTTGTCTACGCAAGCAGTTTACACAGGTGCATATCTAGTTACATCAATGTAAAAAGATCTCTTTTCATGTGAAGCAATTCTGCATCTGCTTTCATGTGAAGCTCTATAGTTGACAAATTGTTCTAATGATTTACTTCTGATTTAATAAGGAGTAATTTTATACTGCAGAAAGTTGCATTGTAATAGTGTCTTGTGTGCGTACATGTGCTTGCCTGTATTTCCGATGGTCTGTCAAGCTGCTGATCAAATTGCTTTATGTCCTTTCCAGTCTTGTGAATGGCAAGAACTGTTTCTGGCTCCCAAATTCTTCCATTGGAACAAATTTTTGTTGTATGTGTCAATTTCTTGAGTGTCCTGAAGTCAGTTCAGACTTATCTAACTGTCTTTGGATGCTGCAGGAATAAATCCAGATTATTACAATCATTTTTACCTGTTAGGGAGTGATAGGGCAGGAAAACATATAAGGATTCTTAGCCTAATCCACCCAGGAAGGAAAAGGGAAAAAAAACCCACACAAAATCTTCTCCTGTACTTTCAAAAACGTAGTATTTGAGCAAGGTAAGAATTCCTGTAATATCTTAATGGTCAGGTACTCCAAATGTACCTGACCAGGACTCAATTAAGCACTTGAATGTACATTTTATTGAGTTACTTAAAATACCATTCCTAGTTAGGTCATTAGTGCCAGAGTACATGATCTTGAATTTACTGGTTTAATATCTTTCTTAAAGATTCTTTTAAATGGAAAGGGAATATTAAAATATATACAGTGAATTTATGAATTCTGGGTTCTCTATATTTTGTGCTGGATTAAAACAGATACAAGCTTGCTTTATTTTAATTTTATTTTCATCTAACTTTAGACTTTGACTAACGTCATCTTATTATTAAAAAACCATTCTTCAGAACTATTTCTGGATAACAGAATAATGATATGGAATTTGCTTGTTAGTTTTTGAAGGAAATGCCTAAAAGAAAACTAAACCAGATGCTAATGTGACATGAACTCCAAAATATGCCAGATTTACAGTCATAGATAGTCGAAAAAAGAAATCAAACATTGGGATACATAAGAGTAATATCAACAATATTGAAAATCAAATGGTACTATTTGAATAAAATAAATCATTGAGTAATTTTTTAAAATTCTTTCTTACCTTGTTTCTGGGGAGTTTCTTTTCTTTAGAACAAATTTCTAAAGAGAGATAGTGTGATAAATGGGTCAGAGGTCCAAGTAAGTACAGTAGTTCCTATTCAGTGATATTTTTACAAAATACCATGCATATGACCAGCAAAAAACCAAAATGAATCCTTTTCATCATTGTTCAACTTGTGTTGCATTTATATTCTTTACTTTCTAATGGCATCTAACTTTATTTTTAGGAACGTATTATGGCCTTAGAAGTGGTAAGTTTCTTAAATTCATTTCCAAACCAATCACAATCACATTCATAATTCTTCTAACTGATGAAAAACATTGGGTTTATGTATTTTGGGAAGAAAAAAAGAAAGTTGCAGTTCTGGGCTTTTAACTGTCGTTTTACTTTTAAGAGAAGGTGTAATATTTTTACACTTCACCTTTCTGTGCAGGTTTTTACTACAATAGTTGAGCACTAGTTATATGAATTACAGTGTGATGTTTTTCTGTACAGTTCAATCCTCATCCTTGTTTGAGCTGTACAAAGGACGTTATTTTTCTGTTGCTAACACTTCGAATGTTTGGGGTCCCTTTGGTAGGTCTAATGATTTCATGTACATGTGCTTTTTACATATTTATGGTGGGAGGGGCAAACAGAATCAGTTCATTTGCTCACATCAACACTGTAACTAAAAGCATGAAGGAATACCATTTTGTTGAGTAATTAATATAAATTAATATAATTTAATAAGATAATAAGTTGGAAGCACCAAAGCTTTCATGAATGTACATGCCATGAATGCAGCTGTTCCAAGCTTTTAAGAGTACCCAGGTGAAATAGCAGGGGTGGGTCTCGTCTTGTCCTAGCATTTCTGAACCATGCTGCTTTCCTCGTGTAGGACATCCCACAATAGTATGTATCAGGCCTGTAGTTTCTTCCAAATTTAATCCCAAGAAACCAGTACTGAGACAATATCAAGGCTGCAAATACAAACTTTTATATTTGCTTGTGCAAATTATTTTGTCCTTCCTGATTGTATCTAAAAACAGCTTCCCATTTCAAAAATATATTTTATACATATTGAATATGTTAAAAAAAGCTGGCATTCTCGCATAAAAGGCCCTTTGTAAATGAGAATTCTCGAATTCCTGCCTTGTGGGACTAGAGAGCTGATGCTCAGATTCAGTATCCTGGCAGTGAGTGTATCTCAGTATCCCGTGTGAGTGTAAAGAGTTGCCAGGACATTAATTCTGTTCAGTAGCATCGTTTATTCATGGTTTGCTTACATGACAACCGGTCAGGCATGTATCCACTGCCATCCATTTGTCATGAACTGTGAGTTAAACTGCCTGCAAATGCCTTGTCTTTTCTGCTTCCAGAGCTCTTTTAACACAGGCAGAGGTTAATTGCTTGCAAATAGCCCAACATCAAGAAAATTCAATCCTTATTTTGTGACAATGTTTGTATTTTTTCCTGGAGCTTTCCTACTCTTTATACTTTTTATTTCTCACACTTTAAGTAGGAAGATTTGTAAGTTATTGTTCAGATAGGACTATTATCATCAGTAAAACATAATTTTCTTTCTCAATGCAAGTTGGGACATAACACCTGAATGCAAATTTGTGATGCTAAATCCGAGAGCTTGAAATCAGTCACTGCTTTCATTATTGCTGATATTGGAAGATGTGTAACGTGAAGTCCTGAGATTGCAGGCAAGAAAATATGGTCATCACTAAGGCTGTTGAATGCTCCCGTGGCACTCATTTTACTTTTACCATGAAGTTCCTCTATGATGTGAAGCAAATCACTGAAACAAAATTTTTCAAAGACTGTATATTACTTTGTGTCCTCATGTTCTGGGTATCTGACTTTGTGACTTGAGGCCTGATTTTCAGAAATGTGAAGGTTTAGTAATAGCTAAATTCAGTGACAGTTCTGTCTATGTATTTTGCTAAGTATACTCAAAAGTCAGATGTTAGATATCTGAGAGTGAATACTTTTTAAAATATAAGTGGTTTTGACTTTTATATCTGTTTCAGTTCTGATGATGACAGCATTATCTCTGTCTTGTTCTTCCCATTCACTGATCTTAAAAATGTGCACAGAGTAATACTTAAGCAGTCTGAATGTGTCAGGATGAGCTAAGATAGAAAAACCCTTGAGCAAAAGAATGAAAAAGGCTTTCCATGTAAGGGAACTTCAAAAATCCTTATACTTTTAGTGTGTATGTCTACATAGCTCTATATCTGTGCAGCATTTATAACAATGAGTACGTAATAATTATTGTACACAGATATTTGTATAATTTTCTTATCTGCCATTTTGAGTCCTCAGAGCATGACATCCGAAAAGTACAACCACTCACATATTTTGTGATTTAATTCAGGTGATAGAGAATGGAAATGGAACAGAGACATAAGGTCTCTAGTCAAATTCAAGGTCTCTATTCAAGTTCTTGAATTAAATTCAGACAGAATCCTTAGTGAAAAAAATATTTAAGCTTTGTAAAAAAAGTATTTCCTTAGGAAAATTTTGTCGGAAAGGTGGCGGTTCATGAGATTCATGGAATACGAGTCATGAAAAGGGGCAAGAGAGGAAAAAACCAGAACACACACATATATAAGTTATATATAATGCATAGGAAAGCATCAGCCCTCTAGAACTGTTTTCAAACTGTGAGACCATGGGGTGGCTGGGTTAGGAATTTCATCTGCATTTTCTTGCACCACATTCTTATTCTGCCTAATCCTGGGAAGAAACTGGTCTGCACAGGAATAGATGGAGTTTAGTGCAGAACTGTGTGAGATTTACCACAAGTATGAAGCCTCTTGCACACTTTTTAAATTGCTTCTCCCCGCATATACCTTTTTAAGCAACAGAAAAGACACGTATCTCTAGCAGTAAATGCAATTTTTAGATCTTTAGATTAAGATTTTAATCTAAACAAGCTGCTTTACACAATGACCTGAAAATTGTGTATGTGTATGTATTCTGAGAGGTATGTTTGACAGCCTGCCCTCCTCTGTTCCTCTACAATTTACTCATTTCTGCCTCCTGCATGTGCCAGTAAAATTGTAGTAGTCATGGGGTGAACTTGGCAATTTAGGCAAGAAAAAAAAGAGGGGGGTGTGTGTGTGGAAGGAAACGTGTTAGGAACCTAGTAGATTCTTTTCTGAGCTTTGGATGAACAGACCTTCCAGTCCTAGCTTAATCTAACTCTGATTTTTATAAATTGTGGGAAACTAGGGGAGTCCCTTGCATCATCTCTGAGGTCTGTGAGCTCCTTCTCCTCTCTGCAAGCTGTTTGAACTGTAAACTCCTTCTCCTACCCATGCCTCATCCTGTCCTCTGTACCCAATATTTTTTTGGATCTGCTTTTTCCTTAGCCAATTCACTTGACTCCCAAGGAAATTGCTTTATTGCCATCCTCTTTCAGCACATGACACCTGATCCGGTCACTCTCTTAAGGAACCTGCGAACAAATAGTACCTATCACAGGAAGCTTTTGGATTTTCTTTGTCTGTTTTTCTTTAATCAGATCAGTTCTAAAGTATGATTCAGTAGATAGGTACCCAGCTTCTTGCTCCAGCAGGGTGCACAGGACAGGAGCAGAAGGTAAGAAGGAAGAGCAGGGGTATTTAGACAGACTCACTGATCTATATAAAAGGAGCTAAAGAGCTAAAGAATCCCAGTATATTCTGGAATAATCCTTCAGCTCATGAGAAGTGCCATGGGAGTAACAAGTACAGGAAAAACTGAGATTTTGGGAACTTAGAGATTGTGTTTTGTTTGGCTCTTTTTGTTTTTAGTTTAGTTTAATACTGCTTATTAAAGTGAATTTAATTATTACATAGCTATTAACAACTAACTTTCATGATTACTTTGGTAATCAATTATGTAGTCTGATGTTTTGCCAGAATGAATACAGTTTATCTTTAAACAAGGTGATTTGTTTTCTCTTGAGTGTAGCATAGTTCTTACATACAGGATTTGCCTGTGTATTGTTTATAGACAAACATGTACGATTTTCTTGGAAAAAAAGTCTGTATTTTATTCTTAGATACACTTTCCATTGAACCTACTTATAAAGAGGTCAGGGTGTATTTTGTTAGGTACAAGCTGCTGTTATGCCATGCTTTACAGCCTTAGTGGGTTTCTGTAAACTACATCATGTTCTTTGTGAGCATAAGCTGCAAGTCAGATTGCTCTGCCTTAGTAGTTCTAGTCTGACATCAAGACTGGGAAACTTAATTTGAAATCAACCATGTCCTGAAGCTATTCCAGTGAACATATGCATTTCATATCCTTTGATCAATAAGACAGTTTGCTGCTTTCAATAAAGAACTCAGAAGTGAGGTTAGCACTTGCTCAGAATACTTGGATCAGACTTTCTGGATATGATTCAACTTTTTGTTACAATGTCATAAAATCTAGGTTAACTCCAGTAACGCTGTAAGTATTCTGCAAAATTGTTATGTAATGTGAATTTCCTTTTCAGTATGACCATTCATGTATTTTATTGTAACTCAGATTTTATGTTCATGGAAGTAAGGTTTTGAATACCAGTAAAAAAAATTTCTGTCTGCATGCACTCAGCAATATAAAAGCTATTAGATTCTTCTACTGTAGTAGCAGGTTCAAATTTGCATCAGTTTTCTCATTTATCACCCTATTTAAAAAAAGAATTGAAAGAGTAACAATGCCCAATGCATTTCCCAGAGAGATTATCTGAGTGACACCGTCTGTTTTAGTGCTCTCTCTCTCTCTGTGTTTTCTTAGTGTGCCTTCCTTCAATAAGTAAATCTTGCTTTCAGCTCTTGAGATTATTTCATGGTTGTCAAGCTTTGTATGTATGAATGTTTAGGAAATCTTGATTCTGAGAGTTAATGCTTTCTTCTCCCCTTGGTGTTTGCTTCTGTAGTGTCTTGCCAAAACTACCATTACATCAAAGGCTTTCTGGTTGTCCCAGGACAGAGCCATTCTTTGATCTTATAAAAAAGACCGGGAGAGGAGCAGCAATCTGAGAACTTCTGTCCTGCCTGCCTCGCCCTTTCCTTTCCTTTCATGAGCAAACCAGTGTGTCACTTCCCTTTTCTGGGGATGGAGAACTTTCCCAGGGTTCCTCAAGTCCTTCCTCTGCTCACTCGCACCAAGTAACTTCTGCTGCCTGATGGTGTTTGCTGTTAGCTTCTCCTGATGCTCACCTTCCTCTTCCCTTCTTCTCCCCCTACACATCTGTTGTTCTTGTTGAATACCTTACTACTTATG